AATTTATGTGAATTTTGATTCACCATCAATTATTAGGTATCTTAAACCTTTAACGGGCGATTTATTTACTGCACGTTTTGCAGATTGTCATTTTGATGAAATGACTTTACCAATTTTAGGAGGGGAAAAACTATATCTTGAAAAATAAGGTAAAATTTCTTGGAATGAAACAACACTATCTCATTTTGATCCCCGTAGCAATCAATGTGAGCAAGAGGTTGAAAAAATCATTCATTTGCAAAGAGTTGCCAGCTCAATTACCAGATGTATTTGTTGACACAAGAAAAGTGACAAAGTCATATGTTCCAGCAAAAATTAATGTCCCTGTAAGACAATTTGCTGTAGCAAATGAATCTCAAATATGCCAGAAGCGTGGTCGACCAGTTGATTCAAAAGACTCTATAACTCGAAAAAGAAAAGTACATGAGAAAAATCAACCGAAAATTTCGGAAGAAGTTACAATAGAAAAGATTGATCAATCAGATATTGAAAATACGGTTCCTGAAAAATCACAAGTGTCCGAAAATAATGAGATTTCAATAAATTATATGTTATCTCATAAATTATGAGAACGAAATAATGTTGTTATAGACAATAATTTCACATTTAATGTGGCTTTGATATTATACAAAATGAGGATTCTGAACTACAGTCGGTTAAAGACTGTCAAAATGAAAATGATTGGCCAAAATGGAAAGAAGTCATACAGTCGGAATTGAATTCTTTGGAAAAACGAAAAGTGTTTGGACATGTAGTTCGAACACCTGAAAATATAATCCCTATTGGATATAAATGGGTTTTTGTATGAAAGAGAAATGAAAATAATGAAATCACAAGGTACAATACCCGACTAATAGCTCAAGATTTCTCACAAAGACCAGGAATTGATTATGAGGAAACATATTCTTCCGTAATGGACACCATCACTTTTAAATTCCTAATTAGTTTTGATCGTATCATAAAAACTTGATATGCGCATTATAGATGTAGTAACTGCATATTTGTATGGTTCACTTGATAGTGACATATACATGAAAGGCCCCGAAGGCCTTAAGGTACCAGGAACAAACAATACATACCCGAAAACTATGTTCTCAATTAAATTGCAAAGATCATTATATAGATTAAAACAATTCGGACGCATGTGATATAATCGCCTTAGCGAATATTTGTTGAATGAGAGTTATAAAAATGATGATGTCTACCCATGTGTTTTCATAAAGAAAACAAATAGTGGATTTGTAATTGTGGCAATTTATGTTGATAATTTAAATTTAATTGGAACTCCTGAAAAACTCAACAAAACTGCTGATTATTTGAAAAATGAATTTGAAATGAAGGATTTGGGAAAAACCAAATTGTCTTGGATTGCAAATTGAACATTTTGCAAATGGATTATTTGTTCACCAATCTATATATATAGAAAAAGTTTTAAAACATTTTTACATGGATAATGTACATCTATTGGCATCACCTGTGGTTGTTCGATCGCTTGATGTGAAAAAAGATTCATTTTGTCCACTTGAAGATGGAGAAAAATTTCTTGGTCATGAAGTACCATATTTTAGTGCAATTGGAGTATTAACTTATCTTGCAAATTTCACTCGACCTAACATAGCTTTTTCTGTAAATCTCCTTGAAAAATATAGCTTTACACCAACTCAAACACATTGAAATAGTGTTAAAATATGGTGTTAAACATATTTTTCGTTACCTAAAGGGTACTATTGATTTGAGATTATTTTATTCTCAAAAGTCGGGATCTACTTTAGTGGGATATGCAGATACATATTATCTATCTGATCTAAATAAAGTTAAATCACAAACAGGTTATATATTTACACATGGAGGAACGACTATATCATGGAGATCCGTGAAGCAATCCTTGACAGCTACATCTTCAAGTCATTCTGAAATTATTGCAACCCATGAAGCAGGCCGAGAATATGTATGGTTTAGAAACATGACCCATCATATCCAAGTATCGTGCAGATTAATTTCAACAAAGGATAGTCCAACAATTTTGTATGAGGACAATACAGCTTGTATTGCACAACTCAGAGGAGGCTATATCAAAAGCGATAGAACGAAGCATATTTCTCAAAAATTCTTTCATACACATGAGCTTCAAAAGAATGACGATATCGATATCCAACAAATTCGCTCAAGTGACAATGTGGCCGATTTATTTACAAAGGCACTGCCAACATTTACATTCAAGAAATTAGTTTATGAAATTAGAATGCGTCGATTCAAAGATTTTTAGTGATCAATATCAAGTGGAGTAGTTATACTCTTTTTCCTTAGCTTAGGTTTTGTTTTACTGGGTTTTCCTATCAAGTTTTTAATGAGGCAACATTTATTTTTAGTACTCCAAAATAACTGTATTCTTTTTCCTTCGTTTGATTTTTTTCTCATTGGATTTTTATCAAATAAGGTTTTAAAGAGGTAGATATTTTGTAATGTGTCATTTAAGGGGGAGTGTTGTAAAAGGAAAGATTATTAGGGCTTAAAGGTAAATGACAATTACACCCCTATAACCCTAGAAATAATTACTATTGTATTCTTAATTATACCCTATGAATATAGGGTTTTGATTCTTAATAAAATATACAAATCTATTGACTTCTCTCTATTCTCTTCTCTTTTCTTCACTTTCATAACAATATGAACTTAAAAAAGTGTTATAAAATTAAAAAAGTGACATAAACTTAAAAAAATAAAATGTTGTTGCATATTGGTTTGTGTGAGAAACTAAAGGTTTTGAAGTTTATTCATTTTTTAAGCGAGACATTTATTTAAAGACCTCTTTCATTTAAAATCCTCTCATGCCAACTCAAAAATAAATAAATAAGTGACATTAACTTAATTAGAGTGACATAAACTTAAAAAGGTAATAGAAACATAAAAAGTGACACAAATTCGAGAAAGTGAGAAACACTCTTCAAATATTGTTAGGATAAAACAAAGAGATTGGACTTTGGGCAGAGTAAAAGCTCTTAAAGACCAAATTCTATGCTTTGATTGTGATCGCTATGTTGAAAATGTGATAATCCAACCATTTTCCGTCCAGCTTGGGATAGGATTTGTAGACAAAACCTTCAATGCAATGTGAATCATGTAAAGATTTTACTTCAGTTTGATTTGAGAACATCTTCCATACTAATGCTAATTATTTTTAAAATTGATCACTTAACTGCAAATAGACAATGACACAATGTCGAAGAATTTCCTCTAGTGCAATGTGAAAGGATTCCGTCAAATTGGCATTTTAAAAAATAAAATAAACATCGTCTAAAGCATATAGAGATTATGTTAGACACGTCGATTCAAAAATTAATTTAATCAATCAAAAGAAAAAGGAAATTTCAGGAGAGAGAATTAAAATTTAAATTCATTAAACATTAATGCCATATAAATTAAAAGTCCATTTGTTTGAATATCGAAATGCATTTGAGATTTTTTTTTTTTTCATTACGATGGGTGTATGGATCAGCTCACACACAGCTCAACTAATCTTATGGGACCCTGAAGTTTACAGTCGGGTATTCATCTCAATGACTCTGAGGGGTTTCGAATTGGTAATGATTAGGGAGCAAACCTAAGGTCTGATTACTAAACTACCCCTCAGGGTTATCGAAATACATTCGAGATGATCTAAGATTCAACGTTTTAATAATTTTAAACCTTATTTGAAGTTGATAATCATATTAAACTCAGTTGTGAATCTTTGTGGTAATTTTTTGAGATCCAATAATTGGATTGTATTCATTATCATCACTAGAAAGAAGGTTTACAGTGCAGAAAGGACAATCATCCGACTAAACATTATTTTGAAATTTAAAAGAACCAATTTAGCTAAGTGTGAGCTGGTCTCTGATTGCTTCCCCTCCATGTCACAATAAATTAATTGCTTATTTTGTAATTTTGGTTAGCAAACGAAAAATTATTTTTGTTTTAAAACCTCACTATTAACTTAACCTTCCATAAAAGAGAAATCAGAAAATTGAAGTAAAATCTTCGCAAAACTTATTGTTTTAACTTATTGTCACTAAGTAATATCTTGGGTTTATAAGATGTTGGAAAAATTCTGTTCTTCTTTGAAGATGGCTCTTCATCTATATTTCTTTTCCTTCTTAACCCACTTTCTCCAACCATTGCAGAAACAGGAGTTAGGTGGAGTCGACGTCTGAGTGAAGAAGTTGAAATTGGACTAGAAGTTTTTGATTTCGGATTGGAATGGATTATGATTTCTATTGATTGCGACTTGCTGGATCGGTGTTTAAGATATTCACAAATGAGAAAGGAAAAGATGAAATTAGGACGAAGAAGGACGAACATGAAAATAAAAGTAGTGAAAAGGGACGGAGAAGAAAGCCACAAAAATGGACGAAGAAGGAGATGTAACTAGGGGTGGGCGCGGGTCGATTCGGTTCTAAAGAGAACCGAACCGAACCGAACCAAAATTTTCGGGTATCTAGTAAATGGAACCGTCGAGTCCAAATATAATTATGGAACCGTTCAGGTTCCGTTCGATTCAGTTCAGTTCGGCTCGATTCCGTTTGGTTCTGTACTGTAATTAAATTTTTTAACATTTATAACAACATTACATAAACACAACTAATGATACATTCAATGATTTTGGAATGTCATAGATTAGTAGACTATTTTGTTCAAATGATCGCTACGGTCAAAGCTTCGATCAACGGAAGTCACAGCATCAACTGACGATTGTATAGATTTTGGAATGTCAGCGAGGCTGCAAGAGTGAGTTATATCTATTTATAATTTCAACTGTTTATAAACACTTTCTAAACATGCTATTATTTTTGTGAGAACCTACATTCTAGATTTTTAGAATTATTTATACTTTAGCATCTAAACTTTCTAGAAACTGCTAAGATATCTGAAAACTTGATTTTTCGATGTATTATCTCAACTAACAGGATATTTTAACTTTAGTCCATAGAAAATTAGCATATTCCTTTTCAGCCCTATACTTTCCAAACTTCATAAATTAAGTCCCATTCCATATCAAACTACAAAAATTTTGGGAGTATCACCCACATATAGACTTGGAAGCCTATGTCTACATGTACATATCAATAAAAAGATATGAGTAATTATCTCTAAGTAAATTTAAATGCGCGCTTAGCAGATTCAAAAGTGTTATGAAGCAACATAGCAACAGTCATTGGTCCAACTCCTCCAGGCACAGGCGTAATTGCAGAAGCTACCTTTGATGCTTCATTCCATATCAAACTACAAAAATTTTGGGAGTATCACCCACATATAGACTTGGAAGCCTATGTCTACATGTACATATCAATAAAAAGATATGAGTAATTATCTCTAAGTAAATTTAAATGCGCGCTTAGCAGATTCAAAAGTGTTATGAAGCAACATAGCAACAGTCATTGGTCCAACTCCTCCAGGCACAGGCGTAATTGCAGAAGCTACCTTTGATGCTTCCTCAAAACAAACGTCTCCAATGAGCCGATAACCATGTTCACACTCGGGATCCTTGCAAATATTTCAACACAAATGATAAGAGAACAAATAAAAGCAGGCTATATTTCATCATTCAAGAAAGTAGAGGTCACCTCAACCGGGGTAGTGCCAACGTCAATGACTATTGCACCAGGTTTTAACCAATTCTTGCACACCAAATTGGGCACTCCAGCAGCTGTAATTAAAATATCAGCTTCACGAGCAATTCTATCTGGGTTTTTCGTATATGCATGAATAATTGTCACGGTAGCATGGTGCCTCTGCTCAAAAGTTGAAAAATTGGATGTTTAGTAAGAAAGTCAAAATTGAGCAGAAGATTCTACAATATCCTGCCCCCATATGTTGCCCATCGATGATGTGGTGTTGCCACAATATCGGTGGTGTCTAGTGGTGTTGCCACATCACCAATGGGCAACATATCTCCTGTCCACTATAGGCAAACAATCGGTTCTAAAAGATTCTAAAACATTAATTCAAAGTATAAGAATGATAGGAGGTGAACTTGGAGGTAAGAGAAGAGAGGAAGAAGAAACGCAATATCACCTGCAGCAGCAAGGATGTTGGTAATCCAACAATGTTGCTCCTTCCAACCACCACAGCCTTCTTCCCTTTTATATCAATGCCTGAACGGATCAGCAACTCAATGCAACCCTGTGGGGTACAAGGAATGAACAAAGGCTCCCTTCCTAGCATGGCCAAATTCCCAATGTTTACAGGATGGAATCCATCAACATCTTTCTCCAAGGTTAGCAAACCCAGTATTTTTCCCTCGTCTAAGTGCTGTTCCAGTTACAGTTTAGTAATTTGAAAGAAAGTCCAACAGACAGTTGAGTTAGACATCTTATATTAATGACTAGGATTTTCCTTCAATAGTACTGATAGATAGTCAGAAATTTTACCTGTGGCAAGGGAAGCTGCAAAATAATACCATGAACTGATGGATTCTCGTTATAACTTTGCAAGGCATTGCAAACTTCATTTTCTGTACAATTGTCAGGAAGCATTGTCATCAAAAACGTAATGCCAACCTCTTCACTCCCTATTTTTTTGTTACGGACATAGGTTAGCGAGTCTCTTTGCTGACCCACCAATATGACAGCCAATCCAGGTACCTGCCCAATCGACTCCTTCATCCTCTTCACTTCAAGGGCTATGCCTGATCTTATTTCCTCTGCAATCGCCTTCCCATCAAGTATTTGAGCAGCATGTTTGCTTGCTGTGTTTTTTCAAAAAAATAAAAAAAAATAAAAATAAAAATAAAAAAATTCTTAATGAAATGGATTCTTTTTGTTTGTATGTTCCTAGGAAACGATCCACATACAGAATATTGAAATTTCGATAACATGTCCTAGGTCTGTGGAGAGCACTAATCTTTCAGGACCATATTTCAACTATGGAATCAAGAAACCTGGATAGAGAATAATAAGTTCAACTGAAGTAGTAGTTAGAACTTAACACATAGTGAGCTCTTTCCTTGATTGGTATAGATTCATTGAGCCGAACCAAGGAAATTGCTCCATATAACTCAGTCATCTGAACGCTGGTAATTCTTGCCAACAGGAATGACCAAAATTTGCAATCTAACACAATAAGAACTGGAATCAACCTTCGGTCTAAATTATATATATATATATATATAATAAACAAAAACCTTGAATATAGTCGTCCTTATTTTACGGACAAATTCGACGTCCTTAGAATTAGATTTAGGATAACACAAGGAAATGGTCAAAATATTGAAGTATTAGTTGTGTTACAGTGTTACCCCTCTTGGCTTACGTACTAAGAATACAATATTTTATTTAGTTTTTTTTTTTTGTATAATAGAGCATCCTAATAACGGTATATTTTATAAATCACACATTTTTATCAATTGTATTCAAGAAAAATTCTTTTAAAAATGATCTTTTGATAAAGATCAGAAATCAAGATAGATAGCAGGTGTGGACATGATTACATTTGGTTTTAATTTCAAGAGAATTGAACTGAACCATGAATCGATTATAATTTTTTTTTTAAAGATATGGAACCAAACCGAAAATAAATCATTCGGTTTTGATTTGGTTTAGTTTGATTTTGATTCCTTTATTTAAATTTTCAAATGATAAATGCAAATTAAAATCTATCATATTTATAAGTTAGTAATATATACCTAAAATTTAAAAAATAAATTAATTAATTAAACATTGAGCAAAGGTAACGGTAGTTTTAGTGTGAGAGTGCGTGCGCGATAAGGACATAAATGAACTAGAATTTAGATCTAATACTTGACCATTTTGTTCGATAGGTGATAAGTAAAATGTAATGATAAATGACATTTTTGTCCATTTCACACTCGTAATTTTTACAGTTGGATTTCTGTTGTTTGATACTTCGATTCACAATTTTTTTTAAATAATAATAATAATTATAGAAAATAATAATAATAATTGAGTTAGTTCTCAATTCTCTAAGAACCAAAATCATTAAATTTTTTTTTAAATCGAACTGAACAGTTGGATTTAGTTTTATTCAGATTTGGTCATGATCTAGTCATTTTGTCCACCCCTAATAAATAGTACTAAAATAAGACAATCGGCGATTTTATCCTTTTTTGTAATTCTTAGGGTACGTTTAATTATCAATATATTTTGTGAAAAATGTATTTTTTTCCACCCAAATTTTTACTTTGGTGCTGTTTGATTGTCTTTTTTAATGGAAAATATATTCTTACTTTTGGTCACGTGACCATATCTTCCTCAAAATTAAGGAAAATATTTTTTCTTTGGAGTAGGATTTTATTATCCAGGAAATTCACTCTCTTATCTATTTACTCTATCTTGTCTACTCACCAATAAAAAATGGACAAATATAATGTTTTCTAAATTAAAAATTAAATCAATCAAACAAGTTCCATGCTCACAGTTAAACACATCTTAGTTAATATTAATTGCTTTTAGGATCAAATCCTTATAGAGTTCTAATGTTGTTGGGTAAATGTTTAGAGTTTTGAGGGGAGATTTGGAAGTCTTTATTTATCTCTAATAAATGACAATATTTTGAAAGTATCATCACGTTAAGGAATATAATCTCACATCGAATAAGGATGAAAACATAGACCAACTTATAAGATCTTGAACTATTCCTTTCAATAAGGTTGACTTTTTAAAAAAGAAACTCAAGTCGTAATATGGTATCAGAACCCATTAAACTCTAACGATCGATTCGATCTGATTAAGACTCAATAAATGAGCGTACGAATTTCAAAATTGGTTTGCTCAAACGAGCCATCATTTTGCGGGGGGCATGTTAAGGAATATAATCTCACATTGAATAAAGATGAAAACATAGACCAACTAATAAGATATTGAACTACTCCTCTTAACAATGTTGACCTTTTAAAATGGAACCCCAAATTTTAAATGAGAATCTACAAATTTTCAGAACATGAGTACGAGGTATGAAATAAAAGTTTAGAACTTTTAAAAAAATAAGCTTGTTATTTCTTGATCAGGCATCATCATAATAAATAGAAATAGGCATAAATGATCCCTAATTTGTGGAAGTTCTGAGCAAATGGTCCCTAACCTTCAAATCTTGGCACAAACATTCCTAACATTTCACTTAATGGATGGAATTGGTCCTTTTGGATGGTAATTGAAACCATTAAAAAGGTCAGACTTTTGATAAAAGACTAAAATGACCTTACTTCAATTTAATAAATAAAATAATTCAAATGGAAAAAAAAACTATAAAATATGAAAAAAAGAAAGAAAGAAAGGATAACTCATCATACCAACCAATATCAATTTAATTATGGATTATTTTAAAAATTATGTCATATATGCAAAATAGAGCTATTTAAAAATCATTTTCGATACATGCTGATAGAGACTTCTTTAAGATGATATGGTAGAAAATAAAATAGATATTGAATAATGCATGACATTGATGTTTAACAAGTTAAAATTTGATTTGCAATACATTCTATAAATTGCAGACATTATCATTTATTTTCTAAAGATTTGCACATAGGTCAGGATCATTTGTGCTGATTCTCCTTTTATAAAAACATTTCTTGACCATAGATGATGGGATGTGGGATGTAACTATGAAGCAGGGCTTCAATTTTCTTAGAAGATTGCATATTTAGAAAGACATTTCATGATGAGAATTATTATATTTCAAGATAATTATATCATTTAAAATATTCTCTCAAGACTTAAAATTTGGTCTTAGTATTGCGTGCAATTTTAAGGGACCAATATATCGACTATAGTTGACTATTGGAATTACAATATTGCTTGAAAACTCTTCATTTGAAAGTCCAAAGTTCTAAGAAATTGGAAAAGTCGACGTGCTGACTTTTCATTAATAAATTTTGGGTCAGAGAACACTCGTATTCAATTCTAGGATGTTTCGTTATTTACGTGTAACGTAATGCCTCGACTATATAGAAAGTAAAGTAATAAAAAATTAAATAAATTATTAGCTTGAACGGTGAGAGCTGAGTGTGATTATATGTTTAGGTAATTAATCACAACTTAATGAGGACTCCAAGAATTCTTAAGAGAAGAAAGATTGATGATAATAACAAAGCAAAATGTATCAAAATGTACAAAAATATTGAAATATACGAAATATCGAATTGCAAATGTACCAAAATCTACGAAAGTATGTTTCTACAATACATGCTATAATATCGTGACCACGTCAATTAAATTTATTTCATTAACATTGTAATGTATATGAAAGTTTGACTAAGTTTAAAATAGAATTTGTGGGGAACTAAATTACTTGTGTGTATTAGTGAAATACATAGATCTCTTTCAAAATCTTGTGTAATTTTCTTATTCTTTTAACTATTTGTTCAAATTTATAGTATCTACACATCTTGTTAGATTTTATTTAGAGAGGTCAAAGTATAAGGAATAATTAGATGATCCACTATAGTCCTGATTCAAAATTGATAAATCTAGCAATTATTTTCATAACCATGTATCACTTTAAAACTCCAAAATAACCTCCTCCAACCCTTTTTCTTTCCAAAGGCTGCTCAATCAATCTGAGATTTTTAGGCAAAATCGTTTATATGAGTTTTTTAAGAACAATGATAAAAATATTAATGAAGTAAATAATCAATGAAAGCATAACAGTTAGGGTCCGTTTGATTGTAAAGATGAAATTTGGATGGAAGAAAACGAATTGAAGAGAATTGAATTATTTAGAATTTGTTTTAGTAAGAATTGTCAATTAATAGTGTTGGATTTGTATAATTTTTTACCTGAAAAATGTTAAAATAAAAGTGTCTTTTGGTGTTCGTTTAACTTTATTTTTCATGAAAATTGACAATTTAAGGGATATCCACTTCTACAATTGTTCCTAGAAATTGTTTACATTGCCAAAAAAAAAAAAGTTCCAAAAGTTATCTATATTTTGGTGTTCGTTTGATTTTGTTTTACAGGAAAATTGTCAATCTAAGGAATATCTTCTTTTAAATTGTTCTTAGAATTTGTTCTCATTGCCAAAAATTAAAAAAACAAAAAGAAAAAAAAAAAAAAAGTGGAAAACCAAAAATCACCTACTCCTAGGAAAATAAAATATGGAAAATTATGTTTTAAAGTGTTGTACTTAGAAATTCATGGAAAATCAATTCCTTGGAAAATTTTGCCAATCAAATAAGCCAAAAGTGGAAGTTGGAATTCGAATTCCAAGTTCCATGGAAAATTTCGTGCAATCAAACGGTGCCTAATTTCCTACACCTCGCGAATTTTGGAAGAAATTGGTATTTTGTTTAGGATAAATTAGGGTGAGTCCCTAAACTTTCACAAAGTGTGATTTATGGGTCCTCAATCTTCAAAAGTCAAGTTTTAGGTCCACAGCCTATTGCATATATGAATTTGCATTCCAAATAATGAAAATCGTCAATCACACATTAAAATTGCATGATTGAATTTTCGATTGAATTGAAGACAAATATTACGTATTTAAATTTTCCCTCTAAATGTGAATCATATGAAAATTATGCTGAATTTTAACGTATACGTTAATATTTGCAATCATTTGGTGACCCTTCCACTAAATTAAAGATGTTGGGGATCCAAAATCCATCATAAAAATTAGGGACTCATAAATTTATGGAACTCACCCCTAATGACCATTTTATTTATGCCTCGGGTATTCTTATGTGTACATGTTTTATAATCAAATGATGACTTAAAATTGACGTAGTACTCTTATCAACTTTTTAATAATATATTTTATTAATTT